TTCAGTGCATTCAAACAATAGCACCAGAGCAAGGTTGGGGTGGACATTCTCATACGTTTGCTGTATTTTTGTCCACCCTGACCTCGACTTGGCACCATTGTTTGTTGGAATGCAGGGAAAGGTCTATTGATGCAACCTGAGGAATATTTCAATCTACTCCCACCTGGATGGGATGCAATTCCATCATTGAGACAGCTGCATTCAATTTGCCATTAAATTTGCCATTACTAAGTATTTTATACAGGGTGGAGAGATTGAGGCACTGTGGTGAGACATGCAAAATGTCTTGCCCATGAATGCAACACTGACAATGACCTCGATGAGGGACTGAACCCAGACCCTCACTTTTTAGTGTCCTCACTGTATAAACTTGCTATGACTCATACCAGATCTGTTCTGAACTCATAGAGAGTATCATCCCCTTGTCGTAGTACTATGAAAGCCTGTTGCCACTTCAAAAGTCCCTTCTTTTGTGCTGGACCAAACTTTGTGCCACAGTCCTGCTTGAGTGAAGCCACAGATGGACCAGCTGGAGACAAATGAGGTGGATCTAAATAAAAACACAAGTTCAAACGCAGATCAGCATTGTTATGTCAGATTTCCTTCCGGTTTCAAAGTCTAAGGCTACTATGGCCAGTAAAACCACGAAAATACAACCTCCTATTAAAAAAATAATGATCAATACCATCTTGCCGGAATCGGTAGAATAACTCCCTGTCCTCAAAGTTATGTTCGTCAACCACATGATGAACTAAGTCTGCATCAAGCAGGGCCTAAAATTGAATGACATGAACAAGCAATTTGTAAACAGAGATGGAAAATGAACTTCAGAACAAAAATAGCATTATTGCCTAAAATTGTAGGCATGCAATGCACGCAGTGAAATATATGTAGATGCAGTCCTAAGCTTTGCATGCATCACAGGGTACAGTACATACCACGTAATTAATGTTTACTAAGCCTAGTTATCTGAAATATATACTTAGGTTAGCATAAGGTTAAAAGCCTACGACAGGCCAGCGGTCCATACAGCTGGAGCTTATCTCAGTTTCTATTATAGTATTATTAAGCAAACACTAGATTCTTTTCCAGAGCAGCTTAAGTAAGTCACTGGTCATAAGTTTACTCTTCGTCAAGCATAATAATTATTCTACAAATATTAGCTTGCATACCTGACCTATCTCAGTTCCCTCTTGTCTTGTAGTTGCAAATCCATTTACAATAAACCAATCAATTGCTTCTGATCCTTTTTCATAAAATAATAAAATAAAATTTTTCTGGGCACGAAATAAAGATTGTTGTTGTTGTTGTTGTAATTAAAAAAAAACCAATATTTAATTGAAATGGCTCAAGGTTAGTTTTTCTCAATTGCATTACATTGTTTTCCAGTGTAATTTAATCTGTGGATGCGAGGCAATTTTGGGATGAAACTACTAAATAGCCCAAAATTGCCCCACATACATCACTGTTAAATTATAAATATAATCTAACATGTATGTGGCATGTGGGGCCATTTGTAATGCAAGTGAGGAAAACTAACCATGAAAAGGGCTATTGAAGCAACTAAGATGTTCAATCCCCTCTCCCCCTTCCCTCCAAACAAACATGCCACAGGGTACATGTTTTGTCAGTCTGTCCCAACAATTTACAAGTACACTGCTGGCCATTACCCAGAGAGGCACTGTGTGTTACACAGTCACCCCCAGCCAGAGTTGGCCCTCCCAGCACCACATCCTACAATGCATAAATTATTCATTGTATCGCATTGGCTTCATTCCATTTGGCTAATAATTAACTCACCCACAAAAGAAGAGTGATATTTCCTTAGGTGATAATACCTGTCCTTTATGATAAGACCTCCATCAGCTGGTGATGCCCTCAATTTCACAGAAAGGTGCTCTATCTGGGAAAGTTGAAACAGAAAACCCCAGCCTATAATTTGTGTCAAGTGGTAGTGCAGAGAAGATTACACTGTGCTAAAACATTCCAATAAATGAAGCAGCTCTCGCAAGCTTGTAATTCTCTTCATTGTTAGTATCACCCAATTAGTGGACTAATGCAAATCCTATATTTTGATTGGCCACGCTACTAGAGGACTATTAGTAATGGTCCTCGAGTAGCGAAATTGGCGCAATCGAGTGTGACGCTTTCTTTCGTTTTATTCCCAAATAAATATTTCTTCAACTTGCATTTGCTAACTTTATTATTGCCTTTTCTGTCCGACTAGTTGGGTGATACTAAAACAATTAGACCCTTCACCTTCAAGGGCCATGAGTTTATAGCCCATAGCCCTTGTGGGCTGCAGGTCTAATTGTTAATTAGCAGCTGTTATTGTTTTAGCGCTAGGGAAATTGTTGCTGTTGTTTGTTCTATTGTTCTCTCAAAGGGTAGCAAGGGTAGCAAGCCATTCATGTGCTACATCACCCATGAAAATTCCATTCAACCAAAAATTTCGTAAAGGTGTAGCCTGATCCCAGAAGTTTTCTTTCTTCTTTCCGCTTCCGAAGCGAAAAAGCAGAAAAAACGCCTTCATGGCAACTCGTTTTCGCTGCGACAGCTCACGTTGAGAATTGAACAGAGAAATCGTCTGGATGGCAGTACGGACAATATACAACTCTGCTAACTCTACTCGAAATTTAAACGCCAGTTTCCGTGTTTCATTAAAAACAGTATAAGCTTGAACTTTAGCTCAAGGGTCCTCAAGAGAAACAGTTCCTTAGAGATTCAAGAGCAATATTTAGACAATGCTTGGTAATTTTCACTGTCCCAAACTTTGCAAATCAGCAAAAGGAACAATAGGTCCCGTCCACATGCGTTTAAGAAATCCCTAATTGTTCAGAGTAATTCACGTGCTTGTGTTAAATGCATCAGCTTACCTTATCACGATCGATTTCGCACATATTTGCTTGCAGTTTTTAGGTCAACCACATAAACTCAATCTTGGCCTCATCAGCGGCATGGCGCCGTTTCCAAAGTCACGTGATCACCTTAGTGTCCCGTTGGGTAGCGTGACTAATAAAGGGTAACGGCAGCTGATTTTTAAGTGCGGGTGATCAACACTTAAGTGCTGGAGAATCAGGGGCACCCAACGGATCGTTTCGGTAAATTATCTGTTCGGAAGGCTTTTAATCCCCTCTGATTTTCTTGAGAGAATTGGCACCTCGAACTTTCGTGATATGAGAGATTTAATGTCTGTTGTTTTCGGACTGTTGAAAATGTCGTTTTGAGTACCGAAAAAAGGTCAGCTATCATTTTCGGAAAGGCGATAAGACCTAAGGTTT